AGTGCCTGAGACAACTCCTGGCAACACTGAATTGGGGTTTTTTTGGTACAGTGCCTGAGACAACTCCTGGCAACACTGAAATTGGGTTTTTGTGGTGTAAGTCCCTAATTTTGTCTGTAGCTCTAATAATAGTCTGGATGCAGAGTAATAATATTAGTGCAACGTATAGTAGTAATAAAATTTGATTGTAATAATACAAAATGAAGGAAAAAGACATGAGGTTTTCCCTCTTGATTTAGCTAATCCTTCCCCTCCATCTGGGGCTCTTAGCAGTGAGTCTCACTCTTGGTTTTGTCACTTGGTGTTTCCAGGAGCAAGGGAGACCTTTATGGTACAGTGGACTACAAAGGAAAACTCCACAGCTCTCATTAATTCGTGCAGCTCAAGGGGAAAACACAGCAAATCCAACCTTGGCAGCCAGGAACTGCCAAAAAAGATGTATGTATTGAAAAAATTTAACTTTCCCAGCATCTTTTCCTCCAGAGGACTCATGTAACCCTTTGCCAGGGAGAGGTTTTAAGTGCCTGGGCAGGAGAAGGTCACCTACCATGACGGGGAAGATGATAGCGGCCACGGTGGACTTGAGGATCCAGAGGAGGGCCAGGCACACCACCTGCAGGAAGGTGAAGAGGTGGACCCTGCGCAGCGGGACGTGCCGCAGGTAGATGAAGTCGGGCTGGTGTTTGAGAGGCATCAGGAGCAGCTTCAGGCGGTCCATGAACTGCAAGGGAGAAGAAACAGCCATGTAAACAACACAGAAAGGGAGATACAACAGAGTGTGGCCAGCCAGGGTGCACAAAAAGGGAGACACAGCAAAGTGTGACCCCAAATCAACTTGTTTCCCACACATAAAGGAGCCTCAGCAGAAAACCCAGCACAATCCCTCTACCCCAATTGACCTGTGCCTTTATTTTAAGGAGCAGGACTCCACGTGTGGAGTATGAATTGCCTGGACGGGTCTGATCCGCTGAAGTTTCTCTTGAAGGAAGCATTTAATGACCCACAGAACAGAGCAAACAAGATGAATGCCCAAACTACAGCTGGCATCGCCCTCGGGGCCACCCCTCCTACCAAGGAAAGCCATTCAGCATTTAAAACCAGTGCTTTTTTTCCCAAATAAACCAGGAGCAGGGGTCACCAGAGAACAGCAAGGCCCCTCAGAGCAGAGCGAGGAGGACGGGCAGCTTTTCAGGCCGTGTCCCTCGCCCCGTGCTGGACCGGGCAGACTTGGAGTTCAACCAAAACGGGGCTTTCTCAGTGTGACAAACCTCCCTGGCGAGGGGAAAACAAACTGCCCGTGTTCCCCTCCAAGACCTGGGCCAGGAAGCAGGGGCAGGCCCCGGGGTGAGGACCACAATCCCCCCGTTGTCCCCTGCAGCCAGAGCGGCTCCAGGCACTGAATGAAATTCGGGGCCGCTTTCAGGAACACCCCAGTCCATTCTGGTGGCGCAGACAGAACAGGGAGTCTCTTCCCTTCCCAGCAACAACCCAGGCTAAAAAAGAAAGGCCACGATTAAGAGGGTGCCAGGAAGCGACAAAAACCCCTTCCAGCTTCCTAGGGCCCATGAAAGCCCCTGCGCTGTGAGAAAGGCTCCTTACGTAAGGTTTCCTCAACAACAATGAAGGGGGCTTGGCTCCCCGTCCCTGGCAAGCAGCAATGCTCCCAAGAGTTCACGCTGCCATAAATCACCTCTTGTTTTCCCTTAGACCACGACAGACGTCCCTGCAAAGCACCCAAAGCAGAGCCTGGGGTCTGACAGCGGACGCTGTCCCTAGACTGGTGGGGGAAGATGGACTTTGGGTCTTCACAAAGCTCCCCCCTCGCTTCCAGAGCTCAGACTTGGCTGCAGATCGCTCCCCTTCGGTCCCATTTTCAGGACAGCCAGCGTGTGGCAATGTCTGTAAATATTTGTCACCGTCCCCGGGTTTCCCAGGAGCAGAACAAGGCGGTGAAGGAGGAAGGGAAGGCTGGAGAGCTGTGAGACCCTGCTCTGGTTCGTGATGGCCTGGAGAGCTGTGAGACCCTGCTGTGGAAATGATGGCCTGGAGAGCTGTGAGACCCTGCTGTGGGAATGATGGCCCGGAGCTGTGGAAATGATGGCCTGGAGAGCTGTGAGACCCTGCTCTGGTTCGTGATGGCCTGGAGAGCTGTGAGACCCTGCTGTGGCAATGATGGCCTGGAGAGCTGTGAGACCCTGCTGTGGAAATGATGGCCTGGAGAGCTGTGAGACCCTGCTCTGGTTCATGATGGCCTGGAGAGCTGTGAGACCCCGCTCTGGTTCATGGAGAAGCGTGGACTCACCTGCACGCCGTTGAGGGAGGCGACGCCCATGTAGAGGAAGACGCCGTAGAGCACCGGCATGGGAATGAACTGCGAGGGGAGAGAGCAGGAGAAACAGTGAATGACCTGCCTGCACCCTTAACGCTCGAGAGCTGCGACCCCTAACTCGCCATACACCCAAATTACACCTGATAATTCAGAGTAACAGGGCCAGCAACCCTTCTGCTGCATCTGGAGAGCTGCAGGAACGTTTGTGCTATCACCAGACGGCTGCGGAGCAGGGCAGGGGGCAGAGGAACCCAAATTCACTGGGACTTGGACATCTCTCCAAGGGAAGGAGCCAGCCAGAGCCAGGTACTCAGCAAATTAAAGAGCAGGCAGGGTACAACGTATTCCCATAAGCCACAAACTGCTTTTCAGCTGTGGTTGTGGTGGGATGAGAAGCAGAAGGTAGAGGAGAACAGGCAGCGTGATGCTGCGGCATGATGGACTTGGTAAGCGGTGGAAATCCATCCAGAAAGGCTTTTGTCTGGAGTCCCAGCTCAGCGGTGACAGTCACACCAACCAAACCTCTGCTCAGCCTGTCCCTCACGTTAACCCACAACCACACACAAATACAGGGCCCTGAGTTACATCCTTCACCACTCTTCTTGAACACCAATTCCTCCAACCCTGCTCCTGCAAGCGGGGACATGGTCCTGGGGAAGCGAGGCTCCACACGGTCGCACCAAAAACGCTCCCCGAAAAGAGCGTCTGCCCCTGTGACCCGCACCACAAACCCTTCCTCCACAGCCAAAACCACCAAGGTGCTGAATGAGGGAGGCCCCTGTGCTGCGGCTGGGGGCCAAGGGGGATGGGGGGA